AAAAAAAAGAAATGACTTCATAGTCATCCCCTTTCTGGGGCATCAGCTGGGCTCTCAGTGTAGCCAGACCACGGCTCCGGTCCCATGTGGCTGCTGGGACTGTGGTGTCCCCTTCTTTTGGTGCCAGGCTGTGGGGGGCAGGTGCTTCTGCGGGGCGTGGTCGCCGTTGTACAGTCCACTCCAACCAGGGCTGGAAGCCCAGCACCTCCCCTCCTCACTCCTACCAGTGTTTTGACTCCTTGTCCTTCACTTGAAACTGTCATTGTACATTGCAAACAGTATTATTATTTTGTTTGTTTGTTTTGGTACCAGGAATTGAACTCAGGACCTTGAGCTTGGTTGGCAGGCACTATGCTGCTGAGCTAAATCTCCAGTCCTTGCCATCATTATCGTACTAATAAAAAAGTAAAATATTGCAAATAAAATATAAACTCCCTGCTCCCTGGCCTCACGCCTCCTTTTCCTCCAGGGATGACCACCTTTGAGAATTTGGTGCTTATCTTACCCATACAAGGTGTTCTTTTTCCTTCAGGTCTTTCTCCCTTTGATTCTTACAAATAATAATTCTGTGTCTCTTTGCATTTGTCTGAACGCGACTTCACTTGTGAGTGTCAGCTTTCATGTGTCCATGCCACACAAAAGGCCCATCTGTCTCTCCTCCCTGGACACAGTTGTTGCAATTCTAGGTGTCAGCTGGCACCATGGGATAGCACCCCTCAGCCTGCCCTTGACAGCCAGCGCCTCCCTCCCCTGCAGACCCGGACACCCTGGGAACTCCTGCTCTGGGCTTGGTGGAGCTGGGGTAGGGGGCGGTGGGTTCCTCGTCTCTTGGCCAAGCTGCCCTCACTGTGATGTTCAGCGACCCCACTGAGACCTGTAGGCTCACTCAAGCCCAGGTCCCTGGGCTGCTGACCTGACCCCCCCAATACCCGAGGCCTGCTGCCGGCTGGCCTGCAGGCCCCACTTGGCCCCGTCCCCATCAGGGGAAGGCTGCGAGTGTCTTCTGCCTCCCATTTTGGTCTACTTAGATGTTACCAGATCTGGATTCTCCCCCAAGTCCAGGACTGCAGCCACTGTTTGCCTCCCGCTTCCTCCAGACACATGTGAAAAGATTGCTCTTGTGGGCACCTCCACTGAGTCCAAAAGCCTGGTTTCTGATCCTTCTGACCGTGACAAGGTACAGAAAGGACATTCTACTCATTGCAAGGAAATCCTCACTCAAGCTTCAGTGAGCCACAAACACTTTAAGTCACGAACCTTCAGGGGATTGCCGTTAGCCTGTCCCATCTCCACCGTGCATATGTTCGTGTGCTACTTGCCCTGGAGCTGATCATGTCTCCATATTCTGGATGCTCCTGGGTAGCACCACTTCAGGCAACTTACTTCATAAACACCTGCATCAGTTTCTTTTTCTCATCATCATCATCCGCGATCACTTGGACAGTGGTGACGGTCTTCCTGTGGTTTCTCTGTTGGGTTCTGATAGGGATAAAATCCTCAGTGCCTGCAGGAAGCAGGTTGTCACCCTTATTGCATCAGCAAAGGGGTGGAAAAAGTAGAGATTCTGGAGAGAGGGCATATGACAGCTCCCCTTCCCAGGTGGAACTGCCTGCGGAAGGTGCTATGGGAAACGTGGGCGGAGAGGCATGGATTGCTGGGAAACGGGGACTTGAGGGGGAGGCGGCTGAGTCCTCAGCTGTGGCTCAGTGGCTGAGGCTTTTTTCCTGGGATTACAGGCATGTACCACCAGGCCTGGCCCAGAGATATGATTTACTTTTTTTTCCTTTTTTAGGGGAAGGCAGGGTCTTGATATGTAGTTCAAGCTGGATTTGAACTCACTATGTAGCCCACGCTGGCCTCGAACTCATGGTGATCTTCCTGCTTCAGCCTCCCAAGTGCTGGGATTTGATCTTAGGGTGATTCTCCTGCCTCAGCTTCCTGAGTGGTAGGATTACAGGTGAGCAACACCACACCCAGCCAGGATCTGCTTTTATTTCATAGAAAACAAAAGCCCTGGTTTTTGAGACTTGAGTTCTGGAACCAAAGATGAAAAGACTTTGGGGTCCACCCCCAAAGGCTCCCTGGAGCTGGAGGCCCCTGACCTCCAGGGCCTCACCTGGGGGATCCCTGCTCCTTGCCAACTCCCCAGAGAGGGAGAAATAGCTCTGCTGGCCTAAGGAAGACAAAGCAGCCCTTCTTCTGTCACCTTGTGCCCGTGGAGGAAGCCAGGCTATGGAGCCTGCAGGAGCCCAAGGACAGGTACCTGCGGGCCATCCTGAGCAGGTAGAGGAAGGCGCCAGGACTGGCCCGGGTCAGCTGGGAGTTTGCTGACTCTGGGCTCCTCTTAAGCTCTGGGTCACTGGGGAGAAGCCAGGAGCAAGGGCTGCTTGCTGCAGCCCCACCAAGCTTTTGGCCTTCATATACAAAGCTGGGGGTCTGTAAATGGAGTGAGGTTTCTCTTGGAGTAATGAGAATGTTTTAAAATTGATTTTACATGCGATGGCTGGACAACTATCTGAATATACTAAGCCACCCAGCCGGCGTGTGAGAGCCTGAGTGGGGTCGGAAAGCATCTGTGGGGAGCGCAGTGACAGAGAAGGCAGCTTGGTTACTGCAAGGAAGGTGATCAAATAAGTGAACATATCAGGGATAAGGGGAGCCAGGTTAAGAGAAGGCCCTCAGAGAAGCTACCTCTGAGTCCCAACAAGCACATTGGGGTTTCTAAACACTGTTTGCACCAGGCATGGTGGTACATGATTGTAACCCTAGTATTCTGGGAGGCTGAGGCAGAAAGATCACAAATTTGAGTCCAGCATGGGTAATTTAGTGAGAACTTGTCTCAGAATAAAAAATTTTAAAATGGCTGGGGATGTAGCTTGGTATAAAGCCCCAGTCTCAGTTCCAGTACCATAATACAATACTAGGGTATTTAGTGGTTCACCGAGAACTTGTGTCAATATGCAAAAATTAAAATAAAAAAAATTTAAAGAACTGGGTATATAGTTCAGGCCAAAGGCCCTGGGTTCAATTCCTGGTACTAAAAAAAAAGAAAGAAAAACTGAGAGAGCGAGAAGGAAACTGGCTATGGTGGGCCGATGGGTGGCTCCCCACAAGACATGTCCATATCTTCATCCCCGGAGTCTGTGAGTGGAAAAGGAGCCTTTGCAGAGGTAATGCAGTTAAGGACTTTGAGGTGAGGAAATCACTTTGGATTATCCAGAAGGGCCCTAAAGTCAATGGCAAGCGTCTATACAGACACACAGAAGAAAAGACTTGGAGGTGACAGCGATGTGAAGGAGGCACAGGGTAAAATGACAAGGACAGCCACCAGGAGCTGCAAGAGGCAGGGAACAGAGTCTCCCCTAAATCCTCAGAGATAGCATGGGCCTACTGATACCTAGATTTCAACTTCTGGCCTCTAGGACTATGAATGAGATATTTCTGTTCTTTTAACTCACCACTTTGAGGTAATTTGTTATAGCAGCCACAGGAAAAAATATACTGGTAGACATTACCTTAAGTAAGTAATCAATGTGAATGTTGTTAGTAACATGAAAAATCAAAATCATGGAACACTTGATCAGATGCAGAGTACATAGCATTGCTTCTGTGACTTTTTTTTTTTTTTTTTTTTGAGACAAGGTCTCACTATGCAGTTCAGGTTGGTCTTGAGCTCACTTTGTAGCCCGGGCTGGCCTGGAACTCACAGTGATCCCTCTGCCTCAGCCTCCCGTGTGCTGGGATTACAGGTATGCACCACCCTGCCTGGCTTCTGTGACATTCCTGCCAAAGACACAAACCTAAACCTGCTCATGAGGAAATATCAGACAAACTCAGAGGGACATTCTATAAAATAACCAAACTGTAACTTGCAAAAGTGTCAAGATCTGGAGGCTGGAGACATAGCTCAGTCATTACCATATAAAAATAATTGTCTAGGTCCTGAGAATGATGGAAAAAACTGAAGAACTATTCAAGATTTAAGGAGGATAAAGAGACCTACAGTGAGAAATTCTGGATAAGATCTTTCTGTTATAAAGTACATAATTGGAACAACTGCCAAAATTTGAACTGCCAAACTTCGAGGACCTAGACAGCAAGACCCTGTTTCAGTTCCCCTCCCCCAATTTTTTTGCTAAAAAATAAAGAAGAAGTCAGACAAGGTGGTGCACACCTGTAATCCCAACACTGAGGAGGCTGAGGCAGAAGGATTACCACAAGTTCAAGGCCATCCTGAACTACCTATATATAAGTCAGTTCAAGGCCAGCCTGAACGACAGAGCAACCTCTGTCTCAAATCCCAACACTCAGGAGACTGATTGCCATGAGTTTGAGGCCAGCCTGGGCTAATATAGTGAGAACCTGTCTAAAAAAAAAAAAAAAGAGAGAGAGAGAAGAGGATTCCAATCATACATATAAACATAAATATTGTCACAGACTGGAAAGCTTATAGACTGGAAAAGAAATTCACAACCATGATACAATTAATATTAACGAGGAAGGCAGAGCCTATGTGCTTACATTTGTTTTTCTTTTGTTCCTTTTTTTTTTTTTAATACAGGTTCTTGCTGTGTAGCTGAGAGTGGCCTGGAACTTGTGACAATCCTCCTGCCTCAGCCTCCTGAGTGCCGGGATCACAGGTGTAGGCCACTGCACCCAGCTTGTGCTTACGTTTTTTGAGCTTACTTCAATAAATACACATGAGGATATAATATTTGGCAGGCATTGTGCTGGCTCTAGATATACTGGAAAAAGTAACAGTGCTGGCCTGCAGCCACAGGAGAGGCTATCATGGGATGTAGATAAATGCTCACTGGAGACTAAGGACAGGGTGTGCAGGAGCACAGGGAACACCTAACCCCAACAGAGTGAGGAGTCAGAGGAAGGATGCCTGGAATGTGGCCCTCTTGCTTTTCCCTTAGGATTAAGAGCAATGTTCAGTGTTCCCAAGGCCTCCCTAGAAGACGGGTGCCCCACCCGGATGGGAGCCCCGGGAGAGGAATGTGGAGAATTTCGAGTCCACAGAACGTGGGCAGCTGGTGGGCTGAGCTTCGGCTCAGTCCTGCGAAAGGAGGACCTGGTGTGGAACAGCAGCTCCAGGAAAAGCTCCAGGTGGTGCAGGAGGGCACCGAGGGGTCCTCAGCAGGGACAGGGGGTTGGAACCAGGCTGCCACATGGGTCTCCTGGAGGAGACCAGAGAGGCCCTGCTCAGCCTCACATCCTCCCCTGTGCTGAGCGCAGGGCCCCTGGAGCCAGTCCCAATCTGTTTCCTTCTATTCTTCGACAGGAAGCTCCAGGAGAGCCGGCCCCCACCCCACCCTGCCCCACATGCCTGCTCCTCTCCGAGATGGACAGAGCCTGCACTGAGCGGCTGCCCGCCGGCCACACAGCCAGCTGACATGGGCACCGGCAGGGCTGCGCGGCTGCGCTGGGCGATCCTGGGCTTGCTGATGCTCAGAGGTAAGAGGGTGCCTGCCACTGGCAGTCCACGGCCCCTAGCCTCCCTCCTCCAGGACACCCACTGCAGGGGCCCCTCCAGGGCTACCCGGGGGTGGGAAATCCCAGGGCCTTTCCTTGAAGGGGATGGCTGGATGGGCATTTCCAGGCAGGGCTGAACAGAGATATTTAAACCCATTGGTGGGAATTTTCCAGGGTGAACAAAGGCTGGGCCCCTGAAATGTGGGAAGCCACCGGCTGGGTGGGAGGCGCGTTGCAGGAGATGTGCAGGCTGGCCTGGGTGCCACGGTCACTCTACAGACTATTCCGCCCCAAACTGTCTGCATCTTGGGCCTTAGAGGTGGCCTTTTTTCTTCTTTTCTGTGAGGAATAACAAGTTGAGAATTCCAAACACTTTCAGCTCAAATTACAGGAGGGCCTCGGGTGAGACCCAAAGCACTACTGACTGACCCAGGGGAGTGAATACATTCTTGCCCACGCTGTGAGCCGAGCTAACTGCTCAGGAGGTGCCTTGGAAGCAGCAGCTCTCAAGGCTCAGCCAGCGCGGGGCCTCTCATTAGGGCGCAGTTGCTGGGAACCATGAGAAGCCCAGGACTCTCTGACTCACAGGGCAGCAACTTCCCTTTGGCCATTCCTCACACCCAGTGCTCCGTGACAGATTTATGACGCTGTGCTGAAAGCAGCAGAAAGAGTCCCGGAGGGCCCGGGTGGGGAGGGTGTCTTTGTGCTGAGGAGCCCTTTGAGCACGTTCGTGCCCCCAAGGGAACTGAACTGTTCGCACAGAGTCCAGGTAGACAGGGCATGTGGAGGATTCGAGGGAATCGGGAAGAACTAAAATGTCTGGCAGTGACTGAGCACTGTATTAAGAAATTTATCTGCATTTTGTTTCCCTCATAATTTGCAAAGTACTAATACTTGCTTCTTGTATGTGTGCTGAGATCACCCCAAAGCCTCGTCCCTCTACGCACATGTGCTCTGCCGCTAACCTACACCCCAGCCTCTTCCTGACATTCCAAAGAACAGAAAACTGAAGCCTAAGTTGGACACTGAGGGACTGAGCTAGGATTTAGGTCTAAATGGTCAGATTCTGAAATCTGTGATTTTAAACTAGGCATCACGTCTGCAATCTCAGCACTCTGGAAGGCTGAGGCAGGAGGATTGACAAAGTTCAAGCCCACCTGGGCCATTCAGCATCTTAGGGATTTTTCAGAACTCTGTTTCAGAATTAAGAATGGTATTCAGACTGGGGAGTGGAGTTCAGTGCGAAGAGCCTGGGTTCAGTCCCTGGTACCACAAAATTAATTAATCAATTAATTAATTAATTAAAATCCATGATTTTAACTATGCTGCTGAGGAAACAGGACAATGGAGGGTTAGCTGGGAAGGAAATGAAACAGGTCAGGGTTAGGAAGTGGAGACCAGGAAAATCAGAAATTCTTGTGGCCAGTGTTCTTGCTGGTCTGCATGCTCCGTGGTCCAGGGACCAAGCCTACTCCCTAAGTCCCTCCTCTACTCACAAAGGAGTCTTTACAGGTGACGAGTTGTGGAGGGGGAGTGGCAGGAGGCAAAGAGAAGGCAGGCAGCTGAGACTTGATGTTGTGACTTCGGAAATCCTCCCATGTTGCTAGATAGCTTTTTTCCCCCTAGGTAACTGCAGGAAGGCGGTACGCTGTGACTTCCCATCACTAACAGCACTTAGATACTTCTGGGCCGTGGTATCTAAGTAACTAAGAGTGTTCAGGATGTGACTTGGATGGAAGGGGATTCCCCAGGGCCATACCCAGAAAGAAAGGGCTCTGTCTGGCTGGGGGTTCCTACAAGTTTTAACTCTCCTCTGGACCCTCCACCCATAAGAAATGGAGTTCTGAGAGCTCTTACTCTGAAAAACATGGCCCAGGGCTTCGGCAAGCTTGGGTTTGCAAACAATACATTCTACACTATCCAGATGATAACCCCATGAAGCAAGGCAGTAGTTTAAGGAAAATAAACAGACTGCACAGGATGCCATAGGCTGGGATGGGCCCCTGGCACCCAGCCACCTCTGTCCACCCAGGCCTGGGCTCAGTGCTTCCCTGGCAATGAAAGGTCAAACCAAGTGGAAGGACGGGAACCCAGCTGGGCGGCTCCACTTCCCCACGCTGTTTTCATTTCACATTGTTCACAGGTTTCGAGAATGATTTCATTGTGGAAAGTGAGCAAACACAACCTGACCTTTCAGGTCCCACACACACCGTGGGTCGCACAGGCATGCACGCATCTGCATAGATGCGTGGAGACAGCCGTACACACACAGAGCTCCTAGTGAGGACTTCCAGCGGGCACCCTTGCTCACTCCCCTCTGGGTTTGGCCAGCAGTGATCATTTCCCCATCGCTTCTGCCTGTGAGAATAAACCAGCAGTTCCTTCTAGTGCTGCCTCGTCTCTTGTACACAGCTGGGAACTTGCCTCCAGTCCAAGCCCCTACCTCCTGCTGGGGAAGACAGAGATAACTTCATACAAACCTGAGCTGTATTCTATTCACCTCCCCATAGTCCCTTTCTCTCCCCTTCAGGCAGAGTCAGAATGATAATCTTCACAGGGGAAACGGAATGGCCGGGCAGTGGCATAGGATAAACATAAACCTAGAGACTTGGAGTCTTGGGTTCTTGCCCAGACATAGCAGGTCATTGGCGCTCTGCTTTGGACACGTCACTAAAAAACCTTCTCCTGACTGTTGGTGTGGTGCCCATAGAGGACCGAAGAGACTGGAAGGGACCTGGGCCTTGGAACCAGAGGTCATGGTGACAGTGGAACTGAGTCACAGTCTCAGAGGAAGCCGGCACCGTGACTTCCTTTAGCCCTCTACCGGGTGTGTCTGCCTTCCAATGTGGAGGGCTTGAACAGCCATAGGGCCTAGGTAGCTGGGCAGAAGACTTCCCATGCCAGGCTGTGTGTTTTGCGTTCTCTTGTAGGCCACAGCTCCCAGCGCATGCCAGCTCAGACTCCTCAGGGTAAGGTGGGACTCCAGGGCCTACTCCAACATTTGGGTGTAGGAATTTAGGGTGGCGTGAGAGGAGCCCTAGGCCCATGTAGTAGAGCTCAGGTGCCTGGGGCTGGGCTAGAGCTCTTAGGGGCTCAGCTAGGGGTTGTTTTCTGACACACCTGGAAAGAGGAGGGAGGTGAATGGTTGAGGGTCGAGGGGAGGTAGGGAGAAAAAACAGATAATATCAGATAAAGGAAGAGGAGGGGCATAGAGCAATGGTGGAGGACCACTCAGCCTTGATCTGTTTCAGGAACCCTCAGCAATCAAAATCTGGCCACAGAGCCGACTTCTCCCACCCCAGGTGAGTGTGTATGCTTGTCTGGGGCTGACACCCCAGCCTCACCCCAGCCAAGGGCTGGAGCCCAAGTGTTCTCAGGTGGACAAGGGAACGTGGTGTCACCAGGCCTGCCCCACCTTCAGTTCCCCATCTCTTTCTATTCTTGCAGGAAACAAGTCTTCCCCAGAGCCTGGCAGCCCTAAGCTTCTTCCGATCAGCACCAGCGCCCCAGGTACTCAGCTGGTGAGACTACAGATGCCACCCAGGAAGGCCCAGGGAGGAAGTGAACCACATGTTTTATAGGAGAATGTAGACTGTGGGGGAAGGGACAAGCCAATAAGGGAGTTACAAACCAGGATGAGGGCCCATGGGCAGGAGCAGGAGCTGAGGAAGCCAGCCGCTTCTGACTTGGGGACCAGGGCATCCCCCAGAGGGAGTGGCTTCTGGAGCCAAGCCCTGGTGGGAAGTAGAAGGTGGAGCGAATAGGTAAAGGCCAGAGGTGAACCAAGAATGGCCTCTTCCAGAATTGGAAACAGGAAAGGACTAGGGGCCAGTGAGCTCCCCTATGCATGTGTCTGCTGAGCCCCTGAGCAGGCCACTCGTGCTCCTCATCCACAGCGCCTGCCCAGAAGGCCTCGCCTGGCCCTCTGCTGTCAAGTAAGGCTGGAACGCCCAGGGTAAGCACTGAGGATGGGCACAACCTGTCCCTACTGGGCCAGACCCAGCTGCACAAGAGCACGCCAGAACTTGGTAAGTACCCAGGGCAGGTGGTAGGGGGTGCAGCACCCTGGGTTATGCCTGGGTGGGTTCCTTGTTCCCCTCCTCAGGAGGCCCAGGTGTTGGGGGCTTGAGGCCAAGGGCCACATCAGTGGCACTCTGGCTTGGGAGAAACAGAGGTTTGTGTAGAATAGGGACATGAAGTTGGGCCTGGTCACAGTGAAGGTAAACCAAGTCTGGATGAGGGGCTGAAAAAAGCATAAAAAGGAGGTTTGGGAAGAAAGGAAAGGTAGAGCAAGGAAGCCCTAACAGGAAGGGGTGGGGAGGCAGAAAATGTCCAAGAGGCCTAGCCTACCCTCAGGACAGGCTGGGGAGACAGGTCTGCCTTCTGTCTTGGCCACCGGTTTCAGGTGCAGGCAAAGGCACCCTACATAGCAGCGGAGCCAGCACAAGAACTTTCCCCTGTGTGTTCACACAAGAGGAGCCCTGTGGCATGTCTCACCCTTTCTTCTCTCAACTGTCCTGTGGCTTTTGGATTTTTCACACTTCCAGACTTATATCCTCCTGCCTCAGGCTCCCAAGTGCTGATATTACAAGCATGCACCACCACGCCTGGCTCCTCTTGTAGGCTGAGTCAGTCCCCTTTGCTGATGCTGTGAACCCCACCCTATTTCAGAATCATCTCAGAACGCCACTCCCAATGCAATCACCATGAGCCTGAGGACAAGGGGAGATGTGACCGTCCTGCCCAGCCCCACATCAGAAACGATACTCACTGTGGCTGCCTTTGGTGAGCGGGGAGGGGGAGGGGAGGAAACCCCACCTGTGGAATTCTTTTTCATACTGAGGATGGAACTCAGGGCCTCATCTGTGCTAGGCAGGAGCTGTGCTGCTGAGCTACAGCCCTGGCCCTCACTCTTGGAAATGACTTGGCTCTGGATCTGGGAACACAAGTCCAAATCTCATCCACTGCAGCCAGTTCTCCTCGACCCTGCTGGGTCCCTTTCTCTCCTTCTGTTTCTGTCTCTCTCTTTCTGTTCTCTCGTCCTCTCTCCCCATCTCTCTCCGGGTTAGTGCTGAGAACAGAACACGGAACCCAGAGCCTTGAACATGCTAGGCAAGGGCTCTACAACTGTGTTACATCCCAGCCCTTTTACATTTTAATTTTGAGACAGGGTCTGGCTAGAAGGCCCAGGCTAGGCTTGAACTTGAGATCCTCCTGGCCCGGCTCCAGCAGAGCTGGGAACACAGGCTTGTGGCACTGTCCACCCAGCCTCTGCACTCTTTTGGGAGGGTGGAGCTGGGCGAGGAGTCCACTCTGGTAGGAGCAGCACACTGAGAGCCATTTGTTCAGCAGAAGAGTGGAATTCACTTTGCTCCCAGTGAAGCCCTGAGCCAGGAAGCAGATTCTGAGGTCTTATTGCCTCCTGTTGTCTCCTCTCTACCTTCCCTTCATCCTATTTTTAACCCTATTCAGGTGTTATCAGTTTCATCGTCATCCTGGTGGTTGTGGTGCTTGTCCTGGTGGGTGTGGTCAGTCTAAGGTTTAAGTGTCGGAAGAACAAGGATTCCGAAGGTACCAGTCTTGATCCACAGTGCCTGCTCCCTTGCACTGGGGGCCCCAGAGTGAGAGGCCGAGGTTGATGCCAGCCTGGGAGAAGGGAGGGAATGGCACATAAGCCCCTGGATGACTGGGAAGGTCCCCTTGGGTGGGCTTGGAGGGGAAGGCTGGGCTTCTGAGTTACAGCCTGTGACTCTCATCTCTGTCCTTGGATTTTTACAGACCCCCAAAAACCAGGGAGTTTGGGGCTATCTGAAAGGTAAGACTGTCAGCGTTGAGGCCTTGGTGTGGTGGCACACGCCTGTAATCCCAACAATCCCAGCACTTGGGAGGCTGAGGCAGGAGGATCATTGTGAGTTCAAGACCAGCCTGGGCTACAAAGTGACCCCAAGGCCAGCCTGAACTGCATAGAGAGACCCTGTGTCAAAAAAGGCAAAAGAAAAAGAAAAAGAAAAAAAAAAGACTGTCAGAGCTCAAGGGAGGGAGCTTCTATCTGACCCATCCACCTACTTCAAGAAGAAAGCAAGCCAGGTGTAGTACATGCTTGTAACCCCAGCACTAAGGAGGCTGAGGCAGGAACTACATAATGAGGCCAGGCTGGCCTACATAGTAAGTTCAAGGGCAGCCTGAACTATATAGACCTTGCCAAATAAAAAGAAAAAAATTAAAGTATGAGCCTTAAGAGACATTATAACTGGCTCAAACACTAGTAAATAGTAAAACCAGGGCTTAAATCCATCTTTGGGGCTCAAAACACAGTCTTCACTAGGGTGGACCTCCCTAACACAGATTTCTGTGAAACAGAAGACTAAGGCTGAAGCCCCTCCCCAGTTCCCAGACTCCCACTGTCCTCCCTGTCCTCTGTCTGTAACCCAGACTCCCTTCCCAACCCAGCTGCTCCACGGCCAATGGAGAGAAACACAGCATCACCCTCATCTCCATGAAGAACATCAACATGAATAACAGCAAGGGCTGCTCCTCTGCGGAGAAGGTGCGGTTTTTCTGTTTCCTGCCTTCCCTTCCCAAATCACCTCCTCTCTCCTGCTTGGAGGGTCTGGTCCTTTAGCCTGAAAGGGGATCCTTTCAAAGACCCAGACTCTTCTGCCCTGTTTCCCTGCCCTTCCCCTAATAGTATCTATTCGTTTTGCAGGTTCTTTAAAAGTGACTTTGGTGTCCCTGCTGGTCCAAGGATGATGCAGCTGCTCTGTGACTGTGAGGAGGGAAAAATGAAATTGTTTGAGGCAACGAACCACACTTAAATTATTTTATTGTTTCATGTCTGCTCCCAGATCTAAAGGACCCTGGCATTCCTCCAGGTCTGGGAGCAAGCTTCTCAGGCGAGAGCCTCCCTCCCACCAGGACAGCCACTCCGAGTCAGGGCCGGCACTGCGCCTGCTCAGGCTCGCAGGAGAGGGAGTGCATGGAGCGAGAGTACGGCGCATGCTGAGTGGACTGAGCCTTTCTACTTGCATTAAAATTATTTTCTGGCCTGCAGCCTAATTTTTTTTAAGGTCTGTGTTCCTGTGCACCTCTCTTCCTTCCTTCCTTTCCTTCCTTCCTTTCCTTCCTTCCTTCCTTCCTTCCTTCCTTCCTTCCTTCTTTCCTTCCTTCCTTCCTTCCTTCCTTCCTTCCTTCCTCCCTCCTTCCCTTCCTTCCTTCCTCCCTCCCTCCCTCCCTCTTTCTTTTCAACAGGGTTTCTCTGTGTAACCCAGGCCAGGTTCAAACTTGCAATCCTCCTGCTTCAGGCTCCGAGTGCTGGGGTTCCAGGTGTGCGTCCCCACACCAGCTCGGTGGAAGGCACATTTCCTAACAGAGTTTGCCGGCAGCTTTGGGGGCTTCTTTCCAGGGCAGGCATGGGTGCATACTTCTGTCCCTGCACGGAGCTCCCTGAGAAACGAGGTGGTAGGGATGCTGTCAAGCCTGCTCTTGCTCTCCTGGAATAGTAAGTAGGCTTGTGGCAACTGACCAGCGACCTCAGCAGAAGAGAGAAACCTGGGGTTGCAAACACTGGCCAGTCACCACCAGTAACAAGGTTTTAATCTGCAGAGCAAGAACACGGGGAGCAAACTCCAGGGGAGAGAGCTGAAAAACAGACATCCTCGGCCTACCCCAGTGTATACAGGCACCACTGCGGTCCTGGCCTTGGCCTGGGCACTGGGAAGGTTTGGCTCAAGGATAGGCAACTGTAAATCAAAACCATCCCCTTAACCTGTGCCGCTGTTCTGTTGTGTCCCATAAGCAGAATAGAGGATGGCAGCTATGCTGCAAAGGCATTTAAAAAGGAGGAAAAGAAAGGGACTGCTTTCTTCGCAATAGGGACGTGTACCACATCTCCGGTGTGGTAATAAATCTTGGTTAAGAAGAATCAAGGGAAATTGTCTGCATGCGTCTGTAAGGAGTGTTTGGTTTATAATCACCTGGGAGTTGGCAGTTTAGAACACAGGGAGAACACAGTCACTCATTCTGGAGGAACAATGGGCTATTTTCTTCAGGCTTAAATTTCAAAAAGTGATATGAGAAAGATAGCCTGCAATGAAAAAGTTTCATTCTCCCTGTCTCATCAAAACTATTAATGTGGTGGGCTGGTGGTGCTCGCCTGTAATTCCAGCACTTGAGAGGCCATAGCAGAAGGACTGCCACAAGTTGAAGTCCAGCCTGGGCTATTTAGTGAGTTCAAAACCAGCCTGAACCACATAGAAAGACTCTGTCTCAAAACAAACCAAATCAACAATAAAACTGTTTTGTTTTGTTTTTTTTAAGACAGGGTCTTGCTAGGTGGTTCAGGCTGGCCTCAAACTTGCAAAGACCCTCCTACCTCAGTCTCCTGAGTGCTGGATTACAGGTGTGTGCCACCATGCCCAGCTAACAAAACTATTACATGAGACTGAAGAAACCTACCAGAAAAAAAGAAACCTGCCAGATCCCATGATTTTCTAAGGCAGGGTATTTAAATGGCTCACATGCGCAGCTTCTACGTGGCACTGTGTGCCTGGCACATGCCAGGTAATAAAATCTGGCTTGTGGGTGAAGGAAATGTGATCATGAATGAGGCTAGACTCTGTCACTAGCTTGATTTTGATGAAATATCTCCCTTTCCAGGACTATTGTCTTCCTTTTAAAGTGGGGCTGGGGCTGGGGGTGTAGCTCAGTGTACAGTGCCTGGGTGTAATCTGAAGTGTCAAAAAAAGAAATAAGAATAAATCAAGATGGCTGAACTACTTGGCCTTTGCTGTCTTCTCTTGTTCTTAGTCTACAGTTCTGTCAACCTCAGGTGTAACAAATAATGAACACAATCTATTTGATCCCACTGTGGGTGGGAGCTAAAGATAAGCCCAAGTAAACCTGGGCAAGTATTTGACATTCTCTGGACTTTTCTTCTTGTATTAACAGAGGAGAGCCAGGCACAGCGGTGCATACCTCTAATTCTAGCAGTTGGCAGGCCGAGGCAGGAGAATTGTTAGGAGTTTGAGTCCATCTTGGCTACATGCTGAGTTCAAATCCAGACTGAATTACATACCTAGACTGTCTCAAAACAAAAATAAGGCAGGGGATATAGATCAGTGGCACAAGCGCCTGCCTGGTAAGCGCAATGTCCTGAGTTTGATTCCTGGTACCAAACAAAACAAAACAAAAAAAATAAAAACAGGAGGGCTGGGGATATACCTCAGAGGCACAAGCACCTGCCTGACAAGTGCAAGGTCCTGAGTTCGATTCCCAGTACCAAAAAACAAAACAAAACAAAAATAAAAACAGGAGAATAGTCCAGGTGTATGCTTGTAGTCCTAGCACTCCAGAGGCTGAGGCAGGGGGATAGGTGTGAGTTCAAGGCCAGTTTGGGGCTACAAAGTGAATTGAAGGCCAGCCTGAACTGCATAGTGAAACCCTGTCTCAAAAAGACAAAAACAAACAAAAGAACAAAAAAAATACCACCAACAAAAACAACAAACCCAGAGAAAATGATCTCTACCTGGCCTTGTCTATCTCACAAGCCACAGGGTAAAAGGAAACAATAAATGTGGAGATACTGGGGAAGTAAAAGCACTAGTTAGTAATTGTAGCAGATAACCTACCTCATGGACCCTCAGGTCCTACTTCCAAGCCCAGGCACTCGTCCCCAGCTGAGGGAAGTGTTGGCTACTAAGTTCATGGCTGGCACTGACTGGTGAGGGGGAGGGTGGAGATGAAGCCTGGACACTTTGCCTCAATTTCTCCCCCTACCCACTTCTACTTTCCTGACACCTCACAGTTGTTCCCAGGAGCACTCAGCAATAAAACATCAGTATGCAAATGTCAGCCTCTTCAAGTCCTGTTTCCTGAAGTACCCAATCTATGTAGCAAAAGTACAATATTTTTTAAAAAGTAATTTGTAACTGGATATGCTGGTGTTTGCCTATAATCCCAACACTCTGAAAGGTTGAGGCAAGAGCTAAATTGGTCAATTTAGTTAGACCCTACCTCTAAAAAATAAAATAGGCACTAGTGGTATAGCTCAATGAGAAGGCCCTGGGTTCAGTCCCCAGTACCAGACACACACAAAAGTAATTAATATATATTTGATTTGAACCACACTGCAACCTAGACATGGTAGCACAAGCCTGCAATCCTAGCAATTGGGAGGCTGAAGCAGGAGAATTGCCTTGAGGTTGAGGTCTGCCTGGGATACATAGTAAGACCTTGTCTCAAAAAAAAATAGATTAATTAATTGATCAGTTAATTTTTTAAAAACCACACTGCAAAAGGCACATGACTTATTAGCCAGTTCTAGTACAAAAATCCATCATCGGGATAGAACCCTCCAGGTGACATAACAATGTCTAAAAATCCCAAATTCTGTTTGAATTATTATTCTGATTGCCGAGGGCACTTAGTTCGGCTGCTTGGCAGCATCCTGGAATAAACAGATCAAGACATGGGTTTCACTCTAGGTAACTTGTTGAGGTCTCCATTACGAGGCCACAACTCTCTTCCTGACTCTGGGTGGCATCCGGCAAACAGGAGCCATCAGTCATCAGGTATTTCTACGTAGGGGTGAGGGCTGAGCTGGTACCAACACCTTCAAGGCCGCAAGTCTCTTACTCTGCTGCGGACTGTACAGGATCACATGAGTCACTGTTGCCAAGTGACTTTATCCTCTGGGAAGGACTTGAGGATAAATTCACTTAATGCCGAATTCTATTCTCGAGCAATCTATGCTAGAGGGCCTCCATGTAGGATCCTACTATTTATGCAAGTAGAAGACTCTGCGTGGGATAGGAAATTCAGTGCAGCCTTCTGCTCTTGCAGCTTCTCTGAGATCACATCTCTTCCTTGATGTCTAGACCACAGGATGGTGACCATTTACAAGATGACTTCCTTCTTTTTACACAAGACTACATGGCCCTAAAGCAGGAATGAGGGGCGGGCTTGGGGGAGGGAGGGTGCGTGGGCTGGAGGAGGGGTGCAGCATCGTCTCGTTTCTTCTCTCATTTTACAGAAGGGCACCCAACACACTAGCTGAGACACACAGGCCCCACAGGCAGGAGGACCACTTTCTCTGCATCTTTGTTCTAGGCCTCAGTCATATAGGGCACACCCCAAACCTCAGAATCACCAGGAAAAATTCACTGCAGTTCAATAAATATTTTTGAAAGGCCTGGAGGCTCAAGACAGGAGAATCACAAGTCTGACCCCCCACTTGGGCATCTTACCAACCAACTGAGAAAGACCATGTCTCCAAGAAAATAATACAAAGAGCTGGGGCTGTGGCTCAGTGAGAAAGCCCCGGGTTCAACCCTCACACTGGTGGAAAAACTAATGGAGAAAACTGACAGGAACCTGGCCACAAGCACCCAGGCCTCACACAGGCACGATTTCCCAAAGCCAGGCTGCTGCTGCTACCCTCCGTGTGAAGGCTGGAAGCCCCAAGGCTCTCTTTACCAGGCTCCTTTCTGTCCAGGCTTCTTTCTCGGCACCTGCCTCCTTGCCTTGAGAACTAACTGCCTGGGCAACCCCAAGTTCTCTGCCCTGATTTCCCCGCAAGCCCCTCCTCCACCTCTGCCATCTCCACCCAGTACCCTTTGGGCCCAGAGCCTCACCCTTTTACACAACACAGTCTTTTTCAGTGGGGATTATTTTGCTCATCGGTTGGTGAGTACAAGCAACACCTGGCACAGAAGTGAGTTCAGTGTGGGGGGTTGGAGTTCTACATTAATCCAAGTGCTACATTCAGAGAACAAATCATCCAGAAGTGTTAGTGGAGGTGTAAATGAGCTGAAGGGTACATTTGCATGGCAGTATCTGAGAAGGCTGCAGTGCTGAACCTTTTTTTACTATTCTAGGAGTAAATGAGTCAAGTCTAAGAGAAGGGTGGGCTGAGGTTTCACAGGATGAAGAGAAAACCTGCTTTTCAACAGATCCCCAATTCCCAAATCCTATCCCATGCTGCTGCACCTGGACTCTGCTCCTGAGCAGTTCCGTACTTCACGGTGCCTCTTCTCCATCCAGCACCTCATTCCCAGTCAGGTAACCCTGACTTCGTGGTACTCACCCATCTCTGTTTGCCCTGTGCTCTGGACGTCGAGGTACATATCACCGCACCGGGCTGTTTTCTAGAGCAAGCTTTGTCCCCAAACCAGAGAAAGTTCCTTCGTATGTACAACAGCCTGGTGGATGTTCCTGACCCTTGGCCACAGAGCACTGGTGGTTCCTTAGGATGCAGCCTTCTGGAAGCGCACTGCTGCCGGGGATACACAGGCTGGGCACAGGGCCAGGGTTCCAGAGCTGGACCTCGCACTCATGCTCTGGTTTGGGGACTCCCTTGCTTCTCAAGTTTAAGAGGATAACAATCCATCTAGTAGTGATGGACGATCCTTCTCGTACCAGTTCACGTATGTCTCCTCTGCGCTTTTTGAAAGACAGGGAGGGTCATCAGACTTAGCATCTGGATTTAGGGTCAGGGAGCAGGGAAAAGCAGCTTTCTAGCCCTTGTTAGCGGCATTATATTTGTACTATTTGTAGTAATGATTACCAGATATAATGGCATGGGGAACCTGTTAGACATATCCAGTACTATTGACATACCCACTACTAATCTGTAATGCCAAACCATGAAAAATGGTTACAGTTATGGCATAAGCCACTAGTGGTTAACTAGCTTGATAGTTTTCAAATATGTGTTTCTCCCCTCTTTCATTGACTATAAAATATGAAACAGAACTGCTTTGATAGCAGAAAGGTAAGGTGACAGAGACTTCCCTCCTGGGCCTTCCTGCTTCTTCACATTCCTATGAGATCCCAGAGACATCCTCACATGGAGCATCAAGGATTCTTCAATCTGTTTTTAGTTTTTTGCAGTGCTGGGGATTGAGCCCAGGGCCTTGCATATGTTAGGCAAGCGCTCTACCTCCAGGTTATATCCCAGCCCAAAGATTCTTTAATATAAAATCTACCAATCTAATCTAACCTTCTCAGCCAGGCATGGTGCCACACACTTG